TACAGCTGGCTGTGTTTGAGAGCAGGAAGAATGGAGGGGGGATATTATTCATCATCACACAGATCTTACTTTTATGATAAAGTCCTTGAAGCACTATGAATGTAATTTAAGATAAAATGTGTATTTTAGATGCATTGTTGCAACTCTGAACCCCAAAAGACCTGTTTGCAACCCTGCAGTTAATTTACAATGACGACTGAATAAATATAAATAAAAACTTACTTTAATACAAGCTGATTTAGTTTAGTCACAGCTATCTGTTATCCTGGATTTTTATTCAGACAAACGGTGAATTTTAACTAACACGCGTGATATGGACTGAATGAAAGAATGAGGAAATGAAACGTCTTTTCTGGCTCTGAAAGGGGGAGGAGACGTTGAGAAACTCAGGGGCCGTTTCCGAATAGCCACAGTTCAGTAGGCAGTGCGTACTTTTCAATAGGGAGTTTCAGTATACTGAACCCTCGTGGTCATTCAGTATGCATTTTTTGGGTCCGCAGCAGTATACTGAACATTTCAGTATGGATACTAACTTCCGGGTTTCATGCAGTATGGATCGGATGCGTGTTTTCAGGAAATGAATTGTATTTTACCACCCACAATGCAGTGCGAAATTAAATGTAAATCGTCACTTCACGTCCGCCTCCAAATCAAAACAAACAAGCGTGGATTAATTTAATCAATTTTTTATCGAGAGTTAAAGTCCAGACTGAAATCACTACTTTTAATTAACAACAGAAAATATAACAAATGTATACATTATTATAAAACCTTTCCCCCTCTATTTAAATAATGATTTCACTATTTAATTGTGTCTTTATTGGTTTATTTTACTTTATATTCTGTACATTACTGTCTTTAATTTGTACTTTTCTTTATGTACTGTATGTTATTTAGTTATTTAGTCTTTTACTTGATTTACATTGTGATATTGTTTTTTTTACCTCACTGTATGTGCATTACTCTCTTGAATAAAGCGAAACAAAAAAATAAAAACGGGTGGTTGCGGCCGGTTCGGGTAACGTAAATGACGTCACTTCCTTACTGAACGAATCAGACGAAGTAGGAAGAAATATCTGCCTACTGAATAGTAGGTACTAAACAGTTTACAGCAGTGTGTGTGTGTGTGTGTGTGTGTGTGTGTGTGTGTGTGTGTGTGTGTGTGTGTGTGTGTGTGTGTGTGTGTGTGTTCTGGCACGGAGCACAGGCTAGCAAACTTACTGTTCACAACTTAACACTCTCTCACTCAAACAACAAAATAACATCGTCAGGAAGCTCTTTACTTTTAAATAATTACAGACATATTAGCTGAGTTTGTAACCATAAACATACCTTGAAAAAGTGGAGAAATAATCCAGAGTGGGTCGGTGATGTTTACTCATCAACAGATGTTAGGAGTCTGAGGGAAAAACCACGTGTTCCCCTGGTACAGCGGCGCAGACAGAAGCAATCGATCCTGGATGAAGTAGCTCAGACCAACTCAGTAGAAACGGAAAATCGTAACTTGATCCAAAGGAATTGGACTTGGTTGAAAGTCTTGAAGACGCTGACCTCTCCTCAAAAAGGCTCTTTCAGTTGTAAACTAACCAGTAGAAGGAACTAGAATATAAACCTCTGTGGATCATTAGAATGATAATGATGGAGGATGGTCACATGGGAGTCTTTAGCTGAGTCGTCCTAGTTTTGCCTTGAGGTGTAAACAACCCCCGGTCACCTGTGGGTCATCAGGGTCACTTATTCCAAGGTGTTACTGGGGCTTCAGTTGTTTTGAGAGATAATTAAGAACAGGATTGTAGGTTGGTTATAGATGGTGTCTCAGACCACCACCTTTGTTAAGGGATTAGGAGAGAAAATTATGTGTTTAATGTTTGTCTGAGATAACTTCAGGACTCCATGATGTACCTTGTTTTGTAGTCTGCAACCCCTCCTTTCTTAGTTTTTTTCTTTGGTTATTTCTATATTTTCGATTAGCCCACCCTCCTCTCTTTTGTAAGATGTTACAATGTTACATGAATGACTCCTTATTTATTGTGTAAATAAACACAATCTTAATTTATGTGTTCAAACATCTTTTTCTAGCTTCTGAAATCAGTCACCTGAATGTCTTTTTTATAACCTTCACAAGCTCTTTTCATTTAGTACACAATATTATATATTATCCTCAAAGTTCAGTACCAAGTCTATTTTTTCTTACTACATTAATTCTCAATAATCATATTTTAAACCATGAATTAAAATAAAGACTTAAACATTGACTTATATAAATATGTTAATTTAAATGGTTGAGCTCATTAAAACGTCACCAAACGTGAAGTATTACCAGTATTACCCGTGTTACGGTTTAAAAAGTGACCCTGTTAACCGAAGACTTTTAGTAACAGTGCTCCTGCTGTTGGTTGTCGCAGTTACCAAAGATATTGAATTCAAAAAGTTTGCTAATCATTGCCTCAATGTTTAGTGTTTTATTAAGACGTACCCTTTAAGTATTTTAGGCATTATCATTTTTTAAGAAATTAAACAAAGGCACACTGGTTAGGACTCTTCTGTCTTTAAAAACCATTGTAACTATGACAACCACAGAAGAATTCGGCTGAAAGTCACCAATTAACACGGTCACTCTTTTAACCATAACACCTGTTAGCTTAGAAAGTTTACCACCAGTATCCATTCTCTCTTAATTCATCTTAATGAAGTTGAAAAGGGATATTTGTTAATCACTCATGGTTGACTCAGATTTTTAGCTAACCCTTGCTGCTTTTAATGACTAACATTCCAGTTAAGCTAATTAAAGACAACATGCTAGCAATGCTAAAATGCAGTTTTGGTTAGTAGCTAACTCACCGGGAAATCGACTTTGACGCCGTTGATACAAAACAAAATAACCGCTCCGTGATGACTCTATATTTCACTCTTCATCATTATCTGCGCCAATATTTCTACTTTTATCAATCTACATCTGTCTTTTCTGTTGATATCACGATGGTTATTGTTATTTTCTCTCATATATGTCGGTAGGTTTGCCGCTCACTCATCCATCACTCTGAGTGAAGAGAGGAACTTCTTATACACGACTCTCTAATCCCTAAATCCCTGAGTGAATGAAAGTTTTTTGTGTTTACTTTTATCACAGTTTAATTTTGTTAAAATGTATTTTATTTCCCTGAAAAGTCGACTTTTTAATTGGATTTATTATTTTGTGATGCCTAAAATAAGCTGGTTCAGAAGTGAGGCCTCTATTAACACTAAAATCTTACTAAGAAGGCTGATAACATCAAAGTATCTCAATACACTTATTGTAAACCATTGTCACCTGAAAAGTCCAGATAAACATCTTATTTCAAGGTATATAACTAAAAATAAATAAAGGTCTGAACTGCTTGTAAAAAGTGAAAATAATATGTTTATGCAAATTTGACTTGATGACACCTTTTAACAACAAGTTAAATTTGCTTGCTGCACTAGCAATATTTTTGCAGATAAAAGCAATCCAGGTTTTATTTTTTTGTTTTTCTGGACCTGTCAGGTGATTGTGGCTTTTAATGTATTGTTGACTAGAAATGACATAAATACACTTGGTAACATGGAGAAGAATGGCAGCAGAATCCAGGGACAGATGTACATAAATGAAGACCAGAGGGAATTAGTGAATAACTTTAAGTAGTTTGACCTCTTCTCACTCTCTTCTGCACAAACTGAGTTCAGGTGCTTAAGTGGATCTTTACATCTCTGGTTAACAGGATGAAGGCGCCCTCTTGTGGTGATTTTTTACTCTCTGCAGGAAAGCATCTGTGTTATTATCCTCCCTTGATATCAATCACACCGCTCAATGTAAATACTGTTACAACTCTTCCTCAAGTAAATTAACCCATCTGTTACATATATATATATTTTATTATAAGTTATCTCAGCATGTTTGCTCGACCCAACACTGCACTATTCTCTCATCGAGCCTTGTACGTGTTAGTCTTTGCTTACATTGTGTTTCTTGTTGTAAATTAATGTTGTCCTTTTTGTGCATTGAGAGTATCGTTTTAATGAAGTCAAATTCCTTAAGTGTGAAAGCATACGCGGCCAATAAAGCTGATTCTGATTCTTCTGATTCTGATGCTGCATTCAGGACACATTGGAAATATAGGAAAGACGTTTTTAGACGTCAAAATGTTAACGAAAACTCTGCTCATTCCTCAAAAGCAAATCTTTTTTAGTGAGGAGAGCTGAAAGAACAGAGATTGAGTGACGGACGCTCTTCAGCTCTAAACACCAACACATGAACAAAGTGACTGAGTTTGACTCTCCATCAGCTTCTTATGACACCCTGCAATGAAGACGAGAAGAAAACATTTTGTTCATGTGTTTATTCAGGATGTCAAACTTCAGTTTGTTTACACATCAAATAAGTAAAGTGTGTTCAATGTCTCTTGTTCAATCATTTCATGAACACATTCACTTCATACACACAGTTTGTTTGATCTCCACTCACAGAAAACTATGATTTATCTCCTTATTGATTTAATCAGGAGGATTACATTTTTAAAACACCTCAGAGGACATTTTTTACTTTACTTTGAATATGAACAACAACATTTATTCTGACTAACTCATTTCTTTAAGTGTGATTTTATAGATTTTCTACAAATGTACAAAGTGGTGAGAAGAGAAAATCAACATTAAAGAAAAGTTTGCTGCTCTCTCTTCAGACTCATGAATCAGAACAGAAACAACAGCATATAAATGTATGAATACAAATAATCAAACATGGAGAGCGGCTAGAAGTTGATATTTTCACGCAGAGAAATGTCAGTTCAGGTGAACAAAAGTCATCCTGAGCAGTGAAAGAGTCCACGGCTAAACAGACACAGGAAGGAGTGTCACTTAAAGACACTCAAACATTGACAGAACAGACAAGAAGAGGTCAAAGTACCGCCCATAAAGTTTGATTGACAGGTGACGATGATCAGATCTCAGCAACGAGCATGAGTAAAAATCAAGTTGAAGATTTAAAACACAGCAAGTTAAACATCTGTCTCCTTAATGACTTCTGTCTATTTCAGTTTACACAACTCAGCAGAGTCTCCAGAAGAATTAAACCAGTTAAACCGGAGTCCAGCATGTAGAGGCTGAGTGAATGTGGTCTGGACTCTGTGGAGGAGAGTCATGGTTTTAGAGATGCTGTAGAAGGAGAGAACACCTGCTCTGTGATCCAGGTACACTCCTACTCTGGAGGACTCAGGACCTGAGACAGGAGTGATGACATTGTTGTACCAAAAGTTATAACTGTTGTTGTAAAAATCTAACTCGCAAGATTTGTCATTACATCCAAAAAGACATTCGTCTGAGCCCCCTGCTCTCCTGATATTCTTGTATGTGACTGCTACACAAACTCCATATCCTCTCCTCTCCACCTCCCAGTAACAACGTCCAGTCAGACTCTCTTTACTCAAGACTTGGAGATAATAAGTGAATCTGTCTGGGTGACTAGAATAAGACTGTTGTTCTCTCATTACTGTCACTTTTCTGTTCCCATCAGATAATAACAGCTGTGTGTATGCTGTGTTTGGATCCAGTGTGATGTCACATGAATATTTTAAGAACTCAGCTCTGGTCATGTTCTCTGGTTGTGACAGTAAAACATCCACTCCAGTCACTGTCTGTGAGATGTTTGTCCATTTCTCTCTCAGGAGGTCCTGTAGTTTATCTCTGACTTCTGACACAGCCGCTGTCACATCCTCAAAGTACCTCAGAGGACGGATCTTGATGCTGGATGAGTGTGTAGATTCACTGAGTGGTGACAGTGAGGGGTAGTCGTGTAGAAACTGGTTGTGATCTTCTGTGTGTGCGAACTTCTCCAGTTCAGTGTCTTTCCTCTTCAGCTCAGTGATCTCCTGCTCCAGCTTCTCCTGAAGCTCTCTGACTCGACTCACTTCAGTTTGCTGCTGGGATCTGACCTGCTGCTTCACATCAGAGCGTCTTTTCTCCATGAGACGGATCAGCTCAGTGAAGATCTTCTCACTGTTCCCCACTGTTTTATCAGCAGAGCCATTGATAGCCTCCACCTCCTGTTGGAGCAGCTTCACATCTTTCTCTCTGTCCTGGATTCTCTGCTGAATGTTTCTTTGACTCAGCTCGAGCTCTGTTTGCTTCTCGCTCCTTTCTACTGCAGCAGAGACTGTGTCATGACCTTTATGATCTTCCCCAGAGCAGAGATAACAGATAGACTGCTGATCAGTACGACAGAACATCTTCATCACCTCATCATGACGAGAGCAGACGTTCTCCTGGAGCTTCTTGGAGGGCTCCACCAGCTTGTGTTTCTTTAATGGAGCTGCTTCAAAATGAGACTGGAGGTGTTCATCACAGTAAGAAGCCAGACATTGTAGACAGGACTTACAGGCTTTCAGTTTCCTCCCGGTGCAGACATCACAGGCCACATCATCAGGTCCAGCATAGCAGTGATCAGCAGGAGCAGCTTGGAGTCCAGTCTTCTTCAGCTCCTCCACTAAAACTGCTAACATGGTGTTTTTCCCCAGGACAGGCCTCGGTGTGAAGGTCTGCCTACACTGAGGGCAGCTGTAGATTGTCTTCTCATCCTCTTTATCCCAGTGGCTTTTAATACACTTCATGCAGTAACTATGTCCACAGGGAACAGTCACCGGATCCTTCAGGAGATCCAGACAGATCGAACAAGAAAGGGTTTCCTGACCCAGCTGAACTCCTTTCTGTGCCATTTCTCCTCTCGGTAACAACAACTGTCTGAGTTTCTCTTCCTGAGAAATCAAACTAGCTCCACCTCTGATCTGCACAGCATGTGTTTGTTCAGTGAACGTCAGCTCTTGTTGGTAACACCCATCCTCAAACTAGGTCTAAAGGGGAGGGAACAAGGAAATATAGAGTCAGAGTGGAGCTGGCTGTGTTTGAGAGCAGGAAGAAGAGGGTGAGGTTATCAAGCTCTGCTTCGTTCCAAGAAGAGGAGCGGTTTGAGAGAGAGAGAGACTTGTTTACAACAGAGAACATTTCTCTTTTAAAAACACTTCTCATTTCAGATTTTACAAGATGAACTCTTCTTTGAATCGGAGGGTTTGGAGAAGGCTTTCTGCCCCCAGTACTGCATGTTGTTTGTACAGCAGCTTAGAGGTTGCTCTGTTGTGAAAGTGCAATGCAGGCTTCATGAAAGTCATTCATTAAACTCATAAATGTCTGTGTTGCATGCTGGGAAACGTATTTGTAATGCTTACTGTGCAGGCGTCACTTTGCTGCCACCGGTGTTTTCTGAAGCAGCTTGTGATGACGATGAGCCCTCTCTGTGCAGATAAATGCAATTCTTCCTCTTGTCTTCAAATATTCTGCTTGTATGTATGCAACACTGAAGCCTGCTCCCCGCCTCCACACTCTGTCACGCTCAGAGCATGCAGGGCGGGGCTGACCACGGACAGACTGGCATTCTTCTCATGCTCACATTGATTTGAAGCTTCTCACACAAACAGCAAAAGCGAGTCGTAACTAGTTAGTGAATTAAATTTTATTAGAATCAAGAATAGAAAACAGCAGCCAGCAGCAACTAAGTGACTCATAGGCTGTTTCTGTGACAGCCGGCGCTTACTGAAAGAACTGGTTTAATCCTGCATTCACACCAAAGCTGGAAAACAACTTCCAAACTCAGGAAAACAAACGGTCACAGGAGCATTTAAACAGTTTCATCGTCAGAAGTCATTGATTTGATCTTTGCTGAATAAAAACTCTTCTTGTGTTAACTCATCAGACAAACGATTGTGACCTCACAGACATTTATGTAACAGAAGAATTCAGCGAGATTATCCCTTTTAAGTATCTAAGATTGAAGGTGAGGGCATTCAGCAGCCGGACTCCGACATCCTCTCAGGCCGAGCTGATTGACAGGTGCTGGGCGGGGTGAAGACGTCGGGGTCGCTGATGCCCAGCTGCAGGTTGAAGAAGCGGGTGGAGGTGGTGACGCTGCTGTTCCTGACGTAGGTCTCCTGCACGGGGTAGCAGTCCTTCAGGGTGTAAACGCCCACCCAGGTCTCATCTGGTGGAGAGACGAGAAACAGGTCACAGCAGCTCTAAGAGGAACTGGAGGTTCATATCCAGCAGAAGTTGGAACGGAAGACAAACACAACTGAGCAGCTTTTGAAATTATGGCAACAACACGTGTGCCTTTATAACGTCTTGACCGTCCTCCAAAGACGGTAGTTTTTAATCTGTTTGATCACAAGAGTTTCTGTGAGATCTTGTGTTTGTGGAATAACACATACACTGTAAATATTAATGGATGAAGCCTGAGTGACGTCACCCTGTTACAGCAGGGGGCTCCGGAGGCTCATCAGCAGCAGCCGCCATGTTGGAAATCCTGTCTCAGCCTAACTTTCAGTCAACCTAACGACAGGCTAAGAGCTGGAGCTGAGGCGGGTTTTAAGCCTCTTGACAAACCGTTATACCAACCTGTCAATCATGTCAGAATCATATATCAGAATTATAATGTTAAATATGGGTTGAAACTGTCTTTATGTCTGTGGTTTTGAAAATCAGTTCAGTTTTGATAATCGTCTAGATTGAAGCCAAAGATTTTTTTTAAATCACGTTTATTAGTTGGTGGAGACCAAATATGAGCTGAAACTGGCGGTTAATACTGACTTATTTATTTGATTATTATATATCCAAGATCAGGAATATCCTGTCACAAAATAATGCAGAAAAACTAGTTCATGCATTTGTTACCTCCAGACTGGATTATTGTAATTCTCTTTTGTCAGGGTGCTCTGGTGGATCTCTAAAGACTCTTCAACTAGTCCAGAACGCTGCAGCTCGTGTACTGACCAGAACCAGGAAAAGGGACCACATCACTCCTGTCCTGGCTTCTCTGCACTGGCTCCTTATACAGTCTAGAATAGAATTCAAGATCCTTCTTCTCACCTACAAAGCTCTAAATGGCCAGGCACCATCTTATCTTAAGGAGCTACTAGTGCCGTACTGTCCCTCGAGAACATTACGGTCCCAGAATGCAGGTCTGCTAGTGGTGCCTACAGTCTCTAAGTGTACTATGGGAGGTAAAGCCTTCAGTTATCAGGCTCCTCTCCTCTGGAATCGTCTTCCAGCCGGGGTCCGGGAGGCAGACACAGTCTGTATTTTTAAGAATAGACTTATAACTTTCCCACCGGATTGTTGATGGATGGTCTGCCCCCCCCCACCCCCACCCCCACCCCCTTGCTCCCTATCCCTCTTCCTGCATCTTATCCCATCTCTCCCTCTATCCCTTTCCAAGCCCAGCGCAGTCTAGACCTGTGAAGGCTGTTTCGTCGTGAGCCGGGGATCCGGCCGAAGATTTCTGCCTTTTAATAAGACAGTTTTTTCTTACCACTGTAACTTTTGCTGCTTTTCTAAAGTGCTCATGATGGATAGACCGGATCTTTAACGATCTGTAACATAACAATGAGTAAGGTCTTTTACCTGCTTCTTGTAACATAACAATGAGTAAGGTCTTTTACCTGCTTTTTGTAACATAGCAATAAGTAAGGTCTTTTACCTGCTTTTTGTAAAGTGTCTCGAGATAACACTTGTTATGAGTTCACGCTATACAAATAAAAATTGATTAATTGATTATGACTTTCTGTCTGTGCATGTCCTTTCTGGTGTTGTGTTTAAAATATTTTTAAAACCAGGTTTACGTTGGCGTGCCGGCTTCCTGTCCGACCACTCCTGGACCTCCACGTTGTCCCCGGGGCCTCCGATGATGTACTGGTCCTCGAAGGTGGAGTTGGCTGGGATGTCGAAGGGATCCCAGGCCTCGGTCAGAGCGATCTTTGAGCAGTCCTTCGTCTTCTGGTCGATCTGGAACATCACCAGGCTCTGGTACAAAAAGATGTACTCGAAGAACCTGGAGCCGAGGAAGAGAAACATGAAGGAGTGACATCTTTGAATGTCTTCTTCTGGCCAAAACAAACAGAACAAAACCTAAAAAGTATTTAATTTATAATCATACATGAAAATCAGGAATTCCTCGCATTTCAGAAGCTGAAATCTGAAACATCTGGAATGTTTTATAATTAATTAAAATGTATGGCTTCATTTCTTTCAACTAATTGATTGATGGGCTTATGTTGCAGCTCTAAATCATACCTTCTTGTTCCCATGTAGAGAGCTTTAACCAGGCCTGCCTTTTCTTTACATTTATTAGCTATTTTTAAACAAATTACAACGTTAAAATCAGAATTATGACCAAACATCTTGATCTTATTAACGGCTTATAACAGATCAGTCGAGCTCTAGTCAATGTGTATTTTTTTAATTAAATATTCCTCAAAAACTTCGTGTAAAATGTGGTTTATTTAGGATACGTCACAATATTCAAATAAAGATAAATGTTAAAGAATATGTAGAAATGTAAATGGTTATAACAGGTTAGGCTGTAAAATGATGTCATGGAGGATCTTACTTCTGACACGGGGTGTGTTTCTTGTTCTGCTGCAGGACTCGGAGCCTCTGGTTCAGGCCGTCGTAAGAGACCGCGGCCCGGCTGTTCCTCCCGGTGCTGTGGTCGTACTGCACCCACCTGCCCTCCCACTGCAGCGGGGCAGAGCAGGGCCCGCTGCCGGGGGCATCCAGCCTGCGGAGGCCGAGAACAGAGGCGCCTGCTGCGGCCAGGAACACGAACAAGAGCCGGTGCATTGTGTCAGAGAGCACCGGGAATGATGTCAGCTTATCCCGTTGTTATTGTTGTTGAGTGCGCTGCACCTGATGCCGACAAGCCTGATGCAGGTTTATACAGAATGATTTCCTGTTTTGCTATCAAAATAAAAGCACACATGCAACCAATATTAAATAAATATTTTTTTTATTATGCGTTTATGAGTGAAATGCGTGTAGGATCTGTTTTTAAATTTTTTTTTATTTTTTTTTATTTGCTTTGCAAATTTTCAACTACTTTATTTCACATTGTCTGTTTAAAAAACCGATTGACTGATATTCCCTTTATTTTATTTTAAAATAGTATAATGATAAATACGTAAAACAGTGTTTAAAAAAACAAACAAACGCAGTGTTGATGTCTATGTTCAAACGAGCTCCTAAATTAATATGTTTTTTTATATAATTTAATATTGAATTGTAATTTTAGTTTCGAGTTTCCGCTCCGTCACTAGGGGGCAGATTTAACGGTTGCTAGGTTGTCACGGTGTGGCGCAGACTGATGACGTAAGCCCTTCCTCCGAGCCAACATGGCGAAGAAGCAACGTGGGGGAACAACCTCGTCTTCAAAGACGCAGAAAATCGTTGAACCGACAGATAATTTCAGTTTAATGCTTACATCCAGTGACGATGAAGAGCCCGAAGAGGTGACCTTTGAGGACGCGAAGACCGAGGCTTTACGGAGCATGAAACTGGCGCTGGACGGAGCCAGAAGGTACAAGGCCGCCAAACCCCATTTAAAATAATACAAATTAACTGGTTAACCTGCTAAAAAGCGGAATAATTTCCACACAGTGAGGTTTCTGTGATATATCCCGATTCCTTTGGGGGGACTTTTAACATCGGCACAAACAACACCGGGCAGCTCAGTATTTAATTTGAACAATTTGCGTTCTTGATAGCGCCAGCACTAAACTGGAATCCAGGTTCGACACGATAGAAAATCTACCTTTTCTTTGTTATTACACAGTTTTTTTTAATGTTTATGAATGCCGATAATTAAAGTGTAACCTAAGTGATGACGAATTTATGA